GAAGCACACCCTATAGCACAAACCACACCAAATGCACAATCAGAAGGTCCCTCGCCAATATTGTCACCTTCAATGATTTCTAAAGCATTACAGATATCTCCAAAACTGTACCTATGCTCCATGAGTCCATTGGCATTACAAGAACACAGTGTACCCGCTAAAATTGGTGGCAAAGCGAAATCACCAACACTCCCTTGAGCAAAGTTCTTAATTGACCTAGAGCCAAACCTAAGAGGTACTGTACCAAATTGAATGTCCACCGCGGTACTAAACTTGTCCAAATGTCTCTAAACTGGTTCTGCGCTCCCCTGCAAGATGTACAACTGGGATTTCCTCCGTCCCTCCAGTACAACCCGGACACCCCTTCGAACCTTCAAGACTCCACCTCCACTAGAAAATTTGTACCCTTTTTCATCCAAGGTATTAAGTGATATGAGATTCTTTGTCAAGTCTGGAATATGGCGAACCTAATCAAGTGTCATCACTGTTCCATCCTGTAGTTTCAATCTAACTCGACCGATTCCTGCAACTCGGCAAGATTGGTTATTTCCCATGACAACTCCACCTTGCTTCACCGTCTCATATATTTGAAACAAAGCCCTATTGGGACACATATGATACGAGCAAGCAGAATCCAGAATCCACTCCTCAGGTTTGGATTTCCCGTTAGATACATCCAACATCACATCTCCATCATCACAAAAATTTTCAGCAATATTAGTCTCGTTCGAATTACTTGATTGCCCCGCATGATTTGCATGTAAATCACCTTTACCTTGCAACTTGTCGCAATCTTTCTTGATGTGTCCTTTCCTTTTGCAGTAATAACAATACACATTGTTGTACTTCACCTTCGATCTACCCCTCCGTCGATCACCATGAGTAACAAGAGCATCCCCACTCCTAGATACAAGATCTCCAACCAACAACTCCATCTTCTCTTTTGAGAACAGGGTGTCGTATACCTCCTCAATGGATAACGTGTCACGACTATACAGAATAGTATCACAAAATAACGAAAAAAATGGGTAGCGAACACAACAGGACCAAGGCTAGATTCTCTTCATCATATTTTACCTCCAACGTCTCCAAATCTGCAACGATCTCCTTGAACACAGCAAGGTGGTCCTGCAGTGACCCTCCTTCCGCCATGCGATGAGAATACAACATCTGCTCTAGAGTCAGTTTGCTCGTCATGCACAACTGCTCCAACTTGAGCCACAAAGCAGCCGCTGTCTTTTCCTTTAAAATATCTTGCAGCAAATTGTTGGATAAATGAAGTTGGATTTGCGCTAAAGCCTTCCGATCCTTCCATTTTTTCTCCTTCATAGACAAGCTTGCTGGCATCCTATCAAAACCCAGCAAAGTATCATCAAGATCCATCTGCGTCAACACAACTCTCACCTTTACTTGCCACAACGAAAATCTTGTATTGCGATCCAATAGTGGAATTTCATACTTCAACGAATTCATCTCTAAAAAATCTCAATCAAACCAGGAAGAACTTGCAACCTGCAACACCAAAAACTGAAAACTATCGAACGTGCAAGGGGCAAAATAGTCCAGAACCACAATTTTGCCCAAAACTGAAATTGGACACCACCACAAGGTCTGTCTCGTCGTCCGGAGAAAACTGCCTGAAGACACCGTCGTCGAAAACCTCCGCACGCGCCGCCACTCTCCTCGTCGGGTTACACCCTTGATGACCGGTCGAAAACGCGCTGGCAACCCGTGACCTTTTCTGGACCGTTTCTGCCTGCTGAGTCCATTGGTGGTGTTCGTTTCTCTAAATTCTTTTTGGTTTGACCAGAAAACGCAAAAATAGATCCGATAGAAAATCGAAAAATTGGATAGATTCGTTTTTTGATTTTTTGGTAATTTTCAGATGATTTTCCGATCAGTTTCAGGCCAAAAATCCACCAACAACCCCGCTCTGATACCACTTGTTGAGACCGATTGACCAATAATGCAGGAATTGAGATTTAATGAATTCCACTTGTTGTAATTGAAGTATTGAACAAGATCACAAATAACCCAAGAATAAGATTAAAATAAAGAAATAAAAGAATTGGCATAGGAACAATGTTATTTTATTCAATCTATGAAAGGAGAGAATTACAACAATAATGGCTTTAACAATACTGAAAGAGGAGCCCTGTATTTATAGTATGAAATCTAATTTTAAAAGAGTCCCAAAAAAGGTAAGAAATCTAATGTAATTTAGACTCCTATTTGAGTCACACTTCTAACAGAAACTGCAATAGAAAACTCCAAGATCGAGCTACAATTCGATGATGAACAAGTTGAAGTTCAGAAATTTCCAACAAAAAAAGGAGGAAATTAAACTTTCCACTCAAGAAATCAAATGTCTTAAATCTCATGTTATCACATTGTATGAAGCGAACACTTGATAATTCTAGCATTGCAGATCTTTTTAAAGATCTAAGTACATTAGAGAGAACCAGATTTGAAGGTGAATTACAAGAATTTGCCAATTATGCATTCAGTTTGCGGTGTGTTTTGGAACGTTTAACATTAGGTAGTGGTGTTACTGATGAGGAGGCAACTTTGAAATCTGATATTTGGGTCTGTTATCTCGATAGAGATGTTTCTACTTTGTCGGATATTTATTCTAGTATCTAGAACACGATAATTTGGTCAATTGATATGGAGGGACTATTGCAAACAAATTTGGGTCAAATATTGAGGATTATGTGGATTCAAGAATGAACACAGAAGATTATGATTCTGGTGAACTGTTAACTGGAAGTATTGGTGATGAAAAGTTATTGGTTGTCGTATTTAAGGAGATTAACAATGCTGGGGATTCCATATGAAATCTGTGTGTATTAAATGATGAGAACTCATATTTCGTTGAGGGTTTAGATGTTGTGGTGGAGAGAGATGCTCCCAAGCTGGTTCCAAACCTGACAAAATCTACACATACAGGCTTTGGTTTGGAGTTTCGCGAATCAGGGTTGAACCTTAATGCAAAAAATGACAGAGTTTTCAAGGCAGGAATGATTTTTTAATGTTTCAATTGGTTCCTAGAATATGCAAACTGGGACTAGCAATCCCAAAAGTCAAAACTTTTCATTGTCACTTGCACACACAGTGATTGTGACAAAGATTTTTGAGTATTTTCCTCCCAGTTGATTAATTATCTTTTTCTTCAATCTGACTCGAGGACAAGTTTAGTGTTGTACATCACAACTACAATTAATAGTTTCCTACTGTAATTATGTTTTATTTTTTCTAGGAATTTATCTTTTTAGTATTCCATTATAGTTGTGACATGACTTTTTTCTTTTATTTAATTAGAATTATAGCTTCAATTTCCTAATACTATTAGAAGTAGGAAATAATCTTGCCTATAAATATAAGGGTATTGTACACTTTTCATATATTCAATCATTATTAAATCAATATGTAAACAAGTTATTCCAATATTTTTCTTAGTTTATTAGATAATTCTTATTACAAGAATTTTATAAACGCTTTCGCACCAGTATACTATCCGAATTCACAAATTGCCTACGTCATCTAGAAGCTCGTTTCGAGAACTATATCGTAATCATATTGAATGATCCAAACGGATATTTACAATAGTCAAATATATGTCAAACATATGTTTTAAAAGAGGTGTCTAACTCGTATTTTCTTTAAAAATTTCAATTATTTCATTAATGTTTATTATTTTTACACGATAAATTTTTCAATAAAATTTACCTCATTTTATTAGAAAATTTACATGGATTATGACATCAAAAATTTTAAGATCGTTGCGGATTAAGGGCCTGTTTGGGAGCGATTTTTCCTCCCAAAAAAATTGATTTTTTGATCGTTATTTCACTATTCCAGCCGTTATATTTGACTTCTTCTCTCACAAGTGGACCCCACTTTTCTCCTAACGATCAACAAATTAACTCTCAAAATCATTCTCAAACAAGCTCTAAATGTAATTTGAATTACTTTCGTATTACTTTTGCATTAAATTTAAATTTCATTTAATTTCTAGATTAAATGTGAATTTTATTTCAATACATTTACTTTCTACATTCAATTTAATTTACTTGTCGTCAGCTCAACATCTATCAATGAAATGGTAAACAAAACAATACAAGTAGCAAAATTCATTTAACAATATTAATAATAATATAATTTTAAAACGTTTTCAAAGTATCAAAATGCATATTAACCTATTTTCATTAACATTATATTGTTTTTTTTTAAAAAAAATTACACTTTAATCGAATTCGTTATTTGTAACTCAGAAACCAGTCACCTCTTTTTCGTCCGGAAAAAAAAAGAAAAACATGATTTGCTTATTCAGAGCAAGGTCCCTACAATCGCAACCTAAGAGAGTGCAATAGCAAGTGGAATGCTATGGTTCCCCTTGAGCCCATAGTTGCTAACCACAATCTCTCCTTCAGAGCCCAAAAACTCCCATGCCTTTCTTGGCCCAACCATGATTTCCTTCTCCAAGTCTCACATTTGGATGATTCAATCCAATGTAATCACACACTAAAACAAAAGTCGTGATTATAAGTCATCCACCTGTAACATTTTCCCTCTCCTTTAGGTTGGGGTTGGAAGTATGGGTGCAAAGGTGGCAGCAATATCATTTGCAGTCCATTTCGCGACACTTTTTTGTTATTTTTTTCCCAAAAATAATTGAAAAATAACATAAACAAATGGACCCAATCGCCCACACGACTCATTTTACACTTCTAGTTGGGAAGAGAACTAGACGGGGCAGTTACATATTCTACCACGCGGTTAAAGGATAAAATGCTCAAAGGACCCTACTTGGTGTACGGGCCACATGGGCCCTGTACAACAGGGGCGCCAAGTTGCATGTGGCCCTGTACAACAAGTTTTATCCAATAACAAATTGTTAAACTGAAAAGTGTACTTTATGGTGTTGATACCTTTTGTTGTTTTCATTTTCCTTGTTAACGAAATTCAAGTACGTAATTTAAAACATAGTCCACAGTAAATAGAAATCAGAATCTGAGTGTGAGTGTGAGTAAAAAGGGAAACCGACTAGTACAAGTACAGGCTGATTATATTTATAGGGGAAGTTCACCACTGTCCGCAATTTCAACTTTGCTTTTGGGTGTTCCACTCTGTTTGCCTTCTGCCTCGATCTTATACACCACATCCATTCCAGACAGCACCTTTCCAAACACAACATGACGACCGTCCAACCTATCGAACATCAAGAAACTTTGGTTAGATTTTCACGCTAAAGAGAAGCAGCAGCAGATTGAAAGTTTTCAAGATAGTCGATACTATACCCTGGTCATAGAAAATGACATTAAAATACAGGACCATATTTAAAGCAAAAAGATTTCAATCCGGGACCATAAATTTATATAGTTACCAGCTGGTTGTCACTGTTGTGATGAAAAACTGTGAACCATTAGTGTCCTGCCCAGCATTTGCCATAGACAAAAGACCTGAAAATTAGACAATAACAGTCAGATGTCACAAAGAAGACACGTTAGTACAGTAATATTCAGAAATCAGAATTGAATCCCATGCACATGCACACATATGTATAGTTAAAAAATTGTTCTCCTACCCACAGCGAGAAGGACAAGACTACCCACTCGCTGATGTGGCATGAGAGCCTTACTTACAATTCTCTTCTCTCCAAAGTGGACAAGATAAGACTTTCCACTGTGGACAGAAAAACATGAGCGTGTATAGTTAAGTGAGATGGTATTAAGGGAAGGGGGAGGTGCTGGGGCATTGGCAGTGTTCCTACCAGGTCCAGAATGTTTGATTTTGAAATTTTCATCAGCAAACTTCTCCCCGTAAATTGATTCCCCGCCTCTTCCATCGCCAAGAGTAAAGTCCCCGCCTTGAATCATGAAGCTGGGTATTATTCTGTGAAACGAGCTTCCTTTGTAATGAAGAGGCTTCCCGCTCTTTCCGGTTCCTTTCTCCCCTGAACGCAGAAAAACATATATGTGATTCATGTATGTTAGATACTGAATAAGAAGGCAGCCAAAAAGATCGTACTAGTACAAAACTTTTACAGTAAATATGCAATAAAATCAATTCATCTATGTTTCCGAATGGTGCTAGCCACTTAGATAAAAGTACCTGTACACAAAGCTCTGAAATTTTCTGCAAGAAAAAATAAGTGGTGGAATTAATTCCAAAAACGTCGAATCTTAAACGAGTTAGTTAACACTTATCATCTAACAATACCATCATACCTGCTGTCTTAGGAACAGTTTTTCCAAAGAGACCCATAACAATACGCCCTGAAACAAAGAGCGTGTTTGATATATTAGGGTGAATAAAACTGCAAAAACTAGAAAAAATATTTTGGTAACAAGAATCTATTACCAAATTAAAAAAAATAAAAGCAGTCCTCAATTGGTAGTTATGAGACCAATTCATCTTTTCCTATTCCAGCCCTTGACAAATTCCGACAAAGAAAAATCACGACATTGTGTGACTCTCAACAGTTACCTAACCACGATTCACATAAAAAAGTTAATAATCACAATATGACACCCGTGAGTCACACTGTTTGATCACGTTTTTCTTTCTTTCAGCACAGTTGGTAGGAACTTGAGAGATGACCTTGCAAAATATAATAAGTGTTCAAATAATCGGACAGAAGGACCTCATTCAAGTTTGGAACCAATGAAGGATCAAGGATGAGTTTTCGGCCCAACATGGCTCCTGTAATTATGTTATATCCATCCCAGACAAATTTCAGGTTTGGAACTCTGTTATGCAGATCAAGCCCTAGATGTGATGTCTAAGTTTTCTTCTTCTGAAAAAGATAAACAACGTTCCCAGGTAGTATCTGCGAACAGCTAAAAAACTTGCAACCCTAAATTTTCTCTCTTGCTTCAAAGCAATCGAGGATAAGAATTTCATAACATCTTTTGCCAAGAAAATCACTTTCTCATTCTGCTAAGACGATCCACTGCGCTAATACAAATTACACGAATAAACAAAACAAATTTCAGGTGAATGAGAGAACTTTCCAGGTTCTTTTACAATGAAAAGAAGAGTTGAATGGATGCACAGGCCCATTGATTAGAGATATTATCAGTGAAGACCTTACATTATAAAGCAGCATCATAAAAATAATCTGTAATAAACTTAGGAGTTCATAGGTTTAGAGCATACCAGCGGGTTTTCCTGCAATCTCAACATCAAAGTAAACATTGTGGGTAACTTCCTTCAAATCTTCCTCTGATTTTTTTGCCTGCACTTGGAAAAACACCATGAATCATTCATAACAAGATAATTTGATCCCAAGATAATTGTTACCATTCCTTTTCATTTTTTTCCTCTGTGCAGTCAATCCTAGAATTCTCTATACACAATTGCTCATAGGAATCGATTGTTAGGCTACTTCCATATCCCAAGCATAGCAGCATTAAATCACCCATATGTCTGACAACAATCTAGTCATTTTTTAACAATTTTTTTCCTGCGTCAAAATTTTGTTCACATCAAACGACAGACTCGCAACCAAATTGATGTTGCATAACTCTGTCCTCCGTTCGAATCTATCAAAACCAGATTAAAAAAAACTGTAGCAATTGCAAAATTCGAGCTTAATTTTATTTTCTAACGCAAGTCACTGAATTTCATAGTAGTCAAGGTCACAAAAAACCATATATCATTCCAATCGGACCCAAAAAATACAGAAAAAAGTGTTCTGATATTACCTGATTGCCAATAAGGCTGAGGAAGAGTACAAGACATAAAAGTAGTCATTGATGTGAGCAAATTTTCGCCATTTTCGTCTCTTTTAAGATCCTACTCTGAAAGTGAGTAAAACCTATGACTCTGCGAGTGAGGGTTTATTATGGTGGATATTATGTGGGGTATGGCCAATGGTAAAGTGACACGTATGCCTATGACGTTTTGGGCCGATTCAATTGGTTTGCGGCACTGGTTACGTACGACAAAGCTCTGAAAGATATTTTAAGTAGAAAATTCCGACAAACGTTTTCAAGTATGATATACCGTTTATCTATTGGAAATCACAAAAAATTCCCTATGTTTTGTGCGAAAAACTCCGTCAAAATACATTGGATTTGCCTTTAAAAATATTAAAAAATGACAAATTAAAAAAGAATAAGGCCCCGTTTGGAAGGAATCTTGAAAATTAATTTTTTGACCGCTAAAAAAAAGTGGGATCCACTTGTTAGAGAAGAAATCAAAAATTACAATTGTAATAGTGAAATAACGATCAAAAAATTAATTTTTTGAAGTAAAAAATCCCTCCCAAACTGGTTGTAAATGTAGTTGCAATGCCGAAATTTTTATATATGCCAACCATAATCCCAAACATTTAAAACTTCATCTTCTTCACATGTATTTTGCTCATAAAACTTTGAAACTTTTCTTTCCGATTTAAATGAGATCACATAATGCTGATATAAATTAATTTCTTAGCTATTGAAAAATAACCATGACTTCTCTTAATTGTTCTTGATTGGGTAACCAAATAAACCCTGTAAGTTAAAGCATTGTGGGAAAAGGGATCAAGAAAATCATTTCTCATCTATATATATCTCTACTCTCTTAAAAGACAGAATCCACCTATTACTGTTCATTCATGAAGCTTTTGTTTGTTTTCCATTTTATCCATTCAATAAATACCCTGAGAAAAAGATAAAGGGTAATATAGATTTGAGTAATGCTCCTCTACTAGGTCTATAAAAAGCTTGATAGAGACCTCCTCTCCCATTTTCTCTCATTTCGACGGGTCTCATGATTAAAAAAATACTCCTCAAAAATCCACCCCCACCTCGAACTGTGAGAGAGGCTGCACTACCAAGCCTCTTACAGGTCTGGTAGTGTAGCATGGTCCTATAAATTTTTCCCTCTTAGCCACACTTGTTGACTCTTCTTATGCTTCTATATTCCTCTTGAAGGAAATGGGTAGCTTCCCAAATACGTTCTTTCTCTTTTTCTCACTGTACATGAGGCCAAATATGCTTCGTTTGATATCTATTTTTTTCAAAATGTATTTCTTTCTCTCTTCTTTTCAATCATACATTCTTTATTAAAATAATATCACACGTAAATAAAAAACTTTTCCTTATTTTCAACCACATATTTTCCATCAATTTACTATTCCAAAATGCATTTTTATATAAAATGGCTCCCAAATACCTTCTAATATTATTTTATTGAAAAATGTATGGTTGAAATAATGTCAAATTACCGTTTAAGGCTTGTTTGAGCCACATTTTTTTCAAAAAAAATGCATTCTTCAATAGTGATTTGACATCATCTCAACCACACATTTTTTAATAAAATAATATTATATACAAATCCCAAACTTTTCTTTATTTCTTAATCACACATTTCCAATCATTACACCATTCAAAAATACATTTTCATTTTAATAATGTGGCTCAAACAATGGTTAAGAATGTAAATATGTTGATTGATTGAATTGAATAAACAATTTATTTTCTTGTTAACTCTTGTTTCAGTTTCCTAATATTTTATCTTCTAAAACTTATTAATAAGACGCAATTTACCTTTTCATAAAAAAATATTTATTATAATATAAAAGTTACTGTTGTGCTAAGATGAATTATATAAGTCATAAATTGGATGAAAATAAAATCCATTTCATGCACTCAGACGTGAGGAAGGTTTATAATGTATTTTTAGAGTTTCGATTATTATGATAAGATATGAAATTAAAAAATACATCTCATTACGTAAGTAAACATCAGAAAGATCCGAATAAACAAAACTAGAATTGTTGTAAGCCATTGTATTTGTAGATAATAAAGTAATAGGGGTAATTGGCACAAAACGTCCTTACTTTTCATGTCTATTATGAAAAACGTTCATACCTTTTATTTTTTGACATTTTTGCCCCTATTTCTGCCTTTCTTGGTGCTGAACATCATTTTTATCAATTTTGGACAATTTTACCCTCCGTTTATATAAAATAAAAAGGAAAAAAAAGGAAACAACAAATAATTAATTGCACCCACAATCCTCAATTTTTAAAAAATTACAAATCGGTCTCAAATATAAAGGAGCCCCGCCGGTTCGGGTCCCTGATCTCCGCCGCCTACTTGTACCACGGTCGCCGTCTTACACCTCTGTAATGACTGTTCTCCTCCACAACTGTGTTTTCCTGCACCATCGTCCCCGATTTCGAATGAGTCAACTCGGAGAAGTCAATCCAGTCTATTTTCTTTACTTCTGGCAATTCAATCTTCAACGAAGGCTTCCTCTCAGTCAATTTTTGCGCGTTTGGTGTAGAGAGGTCTATAATTGGAGGATTTAATTTATTTTTCCCCAAATCTAGGACTCAAGGCTTGAAAAGTCGCTAAAATCAAAATCATTTTGCTCAAGATTCGAAAAATAATCAGAAATCAAAACTGAATAGTCAGATTGAGAGCTCGAAACTAATGAATTTAAGCTACTAGTTCTTTCGATCTCAGCAGCAAACGAGAGCTCTGTTGGAGAAAACTCCCCTAGAAGATGCATTCTAATTTGTTCAATTGCCTAAACTTCCAGTGGATTTGCCATCTAATGTAATTGATTCTAGCCTGATAAAATAAAGATGAAATGGATTTTAGAGAGCGAAAAATTTGGAAGAGGAAACGGATTTCAATTTTCAATAATAGTTTGATGAGCCATTTCCGAGCCATTTCCATGTACAGTGCACGTTCAAAATATACAATTATATACAATCTTTAAAAAATGTATTTATATTTGTGACTGATTTATAATTTTTTAAAAATTGGGGACTGTGGTTGCAATTAGTTATTTGTTGTTTTCTTTATTTTCTTTTTGTTTTATTTGAATATAGGGTAAAATTGTCCAAAATTGGTGAAAAATACGTTCAATGTCAAAAAAGGTGGAAATAGGGACAAAAATGTAAAAAATAAAAGATAGAGATTTTTTCACAATAGACATGAAAAGTATGGACATTTTGTGTCAATTACCCAAGTAATAGTAGGGCTAATATACATGTGACAATTAAAAACAAATAACTTTTGTTTGGTGGGGATTAAAATCAGATTTTAATAAGTTTTGATAAAAAATTGATGAAACGTGTAACAGTAAAATTGTGAATCTCCTAAAATATGTGATTAAATTTAATTGTTAACTTTAACTTAAATTAAAATTTAAATTTTAATCCTTAGGGAATTAGTCATTTAGTCTTTTATTCAAACAAAAATTGAGGTCACGTGGTATACTTGGAAAAAGTCTCCTATCCACTGATGAATTCCAAAACTTTGACGTACCATTATTTGCTAGGTCATTGAAATTCCAATGATATCTCCTTATGTTTATATTCATAGAAATCTAAACAGATGAACATTGCCGAATAAACAAATAATATTCGACGAATAAACCAAAACGTACATGTAAAGGTCGATATGTTGATTTAGATAAGAATCAAAATAAAAAAGTTATTAATTAATCCCAGCAAATATACTGAACCAAACAGAGCATTAATGTCCGCAGTTTGCCCTTTCATGCATGCATGCTCAGATACACGCACTGAATTGACCATGTTTGTGGCGTAGAGTAGGAAGTGGAAAAGCCGCTACACATAGTATTCCCACGTGGGTTCATGTAAAATTCGTTTGCCCGCAATCCTAGAATCTTAATTCCTACTACGATGGAGTGTGAAAACAAAGATACAGAGAATGGATACATACAGATTTTATGGTTTATCTTCCGATGAAGCGGCCATTGACCACCAGATACAGCCACTATTCAACAAAAATGGGACAGTTCTTCAACACCAAGATTATAGCCTTCTTTTCTGTCTTAATTCTGCTAATTCTTGAGGTACTTACAGCTTCTTTTTTTAACTATTTTTTTGTGTTGCCCGACATCTTTTTGATAGATTGTTCATGTAGAGCTTTTTCTATGTTCTCAGATCATTATTTTGAATACTGCTCGCCTTCTGTTTGATAGATTGCTTACGTAGAGCTTTTTGAATGTTCTTTATTAATGATTTCGTGTATTGTACGCCATCTGTTTGATGAAATGATTATCACAGGTAGATAGATTTGCTTCACAAACCAAAACTCTAGTGGGACACAATTTGGAACCAACGCCATGGCATATCTTCCCTCCCAAATCATTCGATGAAGCATCCAGATACTCGAGGGCTTCAAAGATTATCCAGTGCTCTTATCTCAGTTGTGGTCGAGCCACAGCTGCCGCGGCCATCCCAAAAAATATACAACCCCAACTCAGTAATAATTGCCCAGAATTTTTCAGCCACATACATCAGGACTTGGAGCCATGGATGAAATCCAAGATCTCGATAGCACACATAAATGAGGCTCAAAAATTTTCCTCCTTTCGGATTGTGATTGTCGGAGGGAAACTTTATGCTGATTTTTACTACGATTGTGTGCAGAGTCGGGCAATGTTTACAGTGTGGGGATTGTTGCAGCTTCTCCGGCGGTATCCTGGGAGGATACCGGATGTGGATTTGATGTTTGATTGCATGGACAAGCCTACGATCAATAGGACTGAACATTCTTCTCAGCCATTGCCGCTGTTCCGGTATTGCACGACGCGCGATCACTTTGATATTCCATTTCCTGATTGGTCTTTCTGGAGCTGGTATACTTACGAATTACTCACTGCACTTTGTTACATATTGCCTGTTTGTTACAAGTCTAACTGGAAACTTGATGCCATATGTGCCACACTCTTTTTATGGTGGGGGCATCGACATCAAGTATGACGTTTTCACGTATAGAACATGTTACATGACAATATCGATGGTTTCACATGTACTTGTATGGCTTAGTACTGCATCGTAAACATGTACTTGCATTCAAAAGTTAGTCGAAATGAAATTATTTAGAAAAGTGATGGCAGAATTTGATTTTGATTTGATTTGCATTCAGTTGCATGATGTTGAGTATCTGTTGACAGGCCAGAAGTGAATATAGCACCATGGAATGAAGAATTTGAGAGCATTAAACAAGGCTCTCGTGAACGAAGTTGGGCGGAGAAGTGGCCTGTCGCATACTGGAGAGGAAACCCGGATGTTTTTTCTCCTGTTCGCTTGGAATTACTCCAATGCAACAACACTGAAATGTGGGGTGCACAAATAATGCGTCAGGTTAATGAGTTAAATGACCATCACCTTTTTGTTTAAACATTACCTATAAATCAACGAGTGTTCGAAAAATAAATTGACAAAACACTTAGAGTACATGAGTTTCTTGTATTGAACAAAAAGACAAGAATTATAATGATGTCTGCCCTTCGTTATTTTTCTTGATTCTTTCTTGATTGTTAAAATACAGGACTGGGGAAAAGCAATAGAAAGTGGTTTTAAGGACTCTAAGTTATCGAAGCAGTGTGACTATCGGTGAGTACTCTTAGAATTTGCCATTGTTTGTTCCTACCGTCATGTGCATTTGAAATTGGTGTCATATGTTTTAGTTTCATGTATAAATGGCTGCAAGAAACTCGCGTGTCTTTCTTAACTTGCTCTGGATTTAGTCGAAGCACATTGGGTTTAAATGTCAGTCAATTTTTCTCATGCATTTCGCTCTATATGAAATTATGTAGGTACAAGATCTATGCTGAAGGATATGCTTGGTCAGTAAGCTTGAAATACATTTTATCTTGTGGCTCTCTTCCTTTAATAATAACTCCAGAATATGAAGATTTCTTTACAAGGGGTCTCATTCCAAAGAAAAACTTCTTGCCTGTTCCTAAAACTGGGATTTGCCCAGCTATTAAATCTTTCGTTGATTGGGGCAATAAGCATTCATCCCAGGTATGTCATCATTATTTCTTCCCCTATAATGCCTCCCCTTTTTTTCTTGCCAATATTATAGACTGCAACTTCCAACCAAAAACTTATGTTAAACTGATTTCCCAAGTGGGGACTAATTCACAACTTGGATAAGATAGTTCTTCATAGGGGTATAAAAGGGGTCAACCAACCCACCGATTGATCATAAAAATCCTGTCCAATAAGAAGTATGGATTAGCTGTTTCTTTGAATAATAAGGGTGGGAGAAGAATATGAAATGTGATTTCACAATATTTTTGACCGAGCACGGTCACTCTATCACAAGAATGACAATGTTTAACCGTTCATGTTAGCATGCCAATGTTTTCTGTAATAAATTTCCCCTCATCGGGCACCTAACCGTTGGCCATTGGGTTAATTGTTCTGCCCAGTGCTCAAAAAATTAGTCATCGTACGCCCAATCACCTTTGTTTAGAGAAACCATTTGGACTGTGAGCCAAATATGTCTGGGCTAACACAGTCCAAGAGTTTTTTTGAACTGTGCACAACCCACTTTACATCTCTAGTTGTTCCATAATGCATATTGATAGCAACAAGCTAGGATGCATTTTTTCTTTTCCTAAAATGAGAACCAGGATGTTATGGTTGAGAATCTACGATAAGCAGTATTGGACATGAGTCGACATTATGATGAGTATTTCTTTTTTATTTCGTCATTGTCACTATCAATTGTTATCTAGTACTTCCTACCACTTTCTATTAGATTAATATGCTGTCTTGGCCAAAACAGGCAGAATCGATTGGGAGAGCAGCGCAAGATTTCATGGGAAATTTGAGCATGGATCGTGTCTATGACTACATGTATCATCTCATTACAGAGTACTCGAAGCTGCAAGATTTCAAGCCTGTTCGACCATCCAATGCTTTAGAAGTATGTGTGGATTCTGTCTTCTGCTTTGCCAATGAAAACCAAAGGCAATTTCTTGAAAGGTCATTTGCCTTCCCCTCGTCAGCTCCACCATGCTCACTTCTGCCACCTCCGTCGATCTCAACAAGGCAGGGAGAGAAAAAATAGGACTATTTTTAGTAAATATTCAACTGAGATTAGCTTAAAATACATAGAATAGCCGAAGTAGTTGGAAGTTTTGATTTCGTGTATGTAGGCATTTTTGGAGTACGTTGGCAAGCAGTTTTGGTCTATGCTCTACACAAAATTTTGACCATTTTCTTTTTCAAGTTTCGGATTGTCTAACCTAACATATACGTAATCGGCGCCACTGGTGCTAAGCACTAGTCTAAGTGGAGTGCAAGCTTCATTAATTAGATCCTATTTTACACACGTTTTTTTATTTTATGATTTGTTACAGATCATTTTCAATTGCACATTCACACAATAAAATATTCTATACATATACTACAACTTTGCCCTACTTTTATATCACATATTCTCCTAAAAATCACTATTCAATGCTTTTTTTTCTCTTTTTTTTCCCTCACAATAATGGTTGTCAATCATGCTCTTAATAGATCACCTTTAAAGTAGAAAAATAAATCACATTTAAAATGTTCAATCACTTATATGACACCTAAATTTGTGATCTAACACCAATGCTGTTAGATAGCATTATTTAACATTTACCAAGGGATTAACAAAACATAATGCTACATTCGCCGTAGAACTTAGATAATTGTTTCTAGAATTTTTCTAATTTGAGGTACCAAATATAATATTAAGATGTTCTAACCTGTCACTTCAAAATATAGATTATTGTTATTATCAATTTATGTAAGAGTTCAGATTTGTTGTCCTTCATTTGATATTTCTCTCCTAAGATATACATTTTTGACTTATCCGTATCAGAACTTCAAGATGTGTCAAAAATATATGGGGACTAGAAGACAACTTCAACTTTAGGATGTCTTCCTGGACTTTATTTATTTATTTTGTCATCGAAAGATAATAATATAATAACGAAAATTGCAATGTCGGTCTCCATTCTTTGATGAAGTTGTAAGGGTAGAACAACTTGTAAAAACAAGAAAGTTATAATGTAATGTTTCGACTCTGTTGCAACCTGAGTCTATGCAGAGTATAGACAATAAGTGTGAACACAATTTGCTTCGGGCGATTTTCGACCTATTTCATCTTACACGGTTCAGTTCGATTATAAATCATGATTTACATATCGATATAATAATAAGGCATCTGAAAGTTAAACATAAATGTTACACCACATTAATATTTGTCTTAAATTCGGAATACAAAATTAATACAAAAATAAAAATATGAAAGTTAACAAACAGAAAACAGAGACACAGCAAACTTGAAATTGTGAAGTTGTGGGCCTGTGGCCCAATGGTTTTGACAAACACTAAATGTTGCCCACAGGGATCGATATTGCATTTGAACTCGCTTCTTTGTAAATGCCTGAGTTGGTAGAATTAATTTTTTTAATAATTAATAATAGTTGTCTTCGGTTTAAGCTGTTTTTTAAATATCAAAATCTAAATTAAATCATTTTCAAATAGCTAGGTCTCATTAAAAATCGAAACATAAAATATTTATAACTGATATAAATATCAACGTGATTTTTCCCCCTTTTTTATCGTCTGAATTTTCATTTTTTTCTTTATTTTTTTTTATTAAAATTATTATCCGTGTTACCCATTTTACTATCAAACTCAAACCAGTGTCTCGCATGCCTTGCCGAGCACTTTAACAGAAAACTCTAACGAAACAGTCCACTATGACTATTGACTAATCTATATCTTCAATGAAAGGTCGAAAACCAATTTCTTTATATATATATATATATATATAGTGCTTAGCTTATGTTAAGTATCAGTGATATGACACATCATTTAATTAGTGAATAATGTTATCGGTGCTTAGGAGATCATCGTGTGTGTATATATATATTGTCAACGTCATCCATTATTGTTCGGTGGAAGACGACCAATTTATAAATAGTGGGAATAGCAGACCTCGTGGAACAATTACAAAAGATGAAAGATAAAACTATAGCCCCTGATTAATGGCCATTATAAAGAGAAATTGATGGAAAATAATGTTTTGAATAATAAATTTTTAGAGAACGTGTGGTAAAAAAGCGTGGAGTTTTTTTTATTTATGTGCAAAATATTTTTTTATATGAATGTATAATTAAAATTGAGTATGAGAAATAAAGGATTTTGAAATAAAAAGAGTCGAAACAAAGGCTTATTTACTTTGTCAATCAAGAGATTATAGCTTTACAAAACCAAAATAATTTTGGGCTCGTTTGATGTTGTTTTTATTTTTGCTTCATGTAGAAGCTTTTGGAGGAAGCTATTTTCATTTTTGTTTGAAAAGAAAATCTTAAAAGAACTTTCTATTCCGACAGTACGTTTAGAGGAAGCAACATTAAACCAATTTTCTCTAAACAATCTTCTAATTAGCAAAAATACTGTCATAAAAATAGCCAAATGAATTTAAAAACTTTTTAACTTTTCAAAAGTCATGCCAACGGAACCTAAACAAGTGCTAGTTATACGAGTATTATTGTCTAAAGCTTCAAGAAAACAGCGTAGTGGTAATCAAAGCACTAATTAACGAGGGAGAGAACTAAGTAATTCGCACTGCAATTATAGTTGTTCAGTCCCCTAGGATATATAAACCTTACCAAAGGTTTTCCCTGTAGGTTTCAAATAGCAGCATAAACTCTTTCATAATTCGAAAAAAACTCATTTCATAGCCTAGCAAGGAACCCAAGTTCCTGGACACATCGCACCACCACTTGCAACTCAATTCTAAGACAGATCAAAGAAGAGCGAGGAACCTCTTGCTGGTGTTTAGAAGTATGTTCTAACCGACTTAAACGAGAAATATGAGTGGCTAACTAGCTGAAAATACCTCGTAGAGCATATATAAGGAAAAGTAACACCACAATGCCTCTCCAAAAATGATTTTGAGAAAAAACATACTGTTTTATTCCTGTTTTCAAAATGTAAAGCATTTCATAGATCCCACATTTCAGTAATTCAAAACACTATTATAGTCAGATGGTAAAATGGAAAAAGTCATTTGTACACGGACGTGTACACTCCGGTGTACATGCTCCTCACATGGAAAGGGGCCCCACGTCCAATAAATGCTTCCAGCCGACCTCCCATGTGAGAGGGCGTGTACACCGGAGTGTACACCCCCCGTGTACGTGTAGCCGAACCCCAGTTGAAAGGTTTTCCAAGGATTGTAAAAAGAACTGACTAATTTTAAAAACTTAATATTTAAAACTTTGAAACTAGTATCTGAATCCATTTTAAACATTCGATCTCGATTTTGGAAAGCATGAGTAGAAAGCAATCGTTTCTACAAATAGTTAAAACAGAGCTATAGGTTTTATGAAAAACATGTTCGTAGACATGTAAAATTAGTTTTAAAAGTACTGTTACAGGTTAATGCCTCTGAAATTACTTGACTTCTGAAATAAGAAGGATAAGTATATATGTTTTAGAATCTTGGCCCGAGCTTAGGCTTCTCTAGAATAAACTTTCGGACTTGATAAAAAGAGTTAAACACAGAAAGATAAGCTTGAATGCCTCATGAAATCATTAACTTTCGAAGCAGGTAATATACGTACTGCTTCTCAATTTTCAAGAATTGTTTGATGAACTTCCATAACCAATTATCTAAGTAATTTAAATCAAGAAATCTAAAAGAAGTCTCCAGGCTTATCCAAGAACAGCCACCAACTTGAAGTAAACAGTAAAAAGTGGAAATTATGAATTCCATTTTTCAATATTGATGGTTACTCAGATACAAATAAACTAAGAGCAAACTGTAGCCACAACTTACAAAATCAATCCAATAAATTCTAAATGAACACCCTTATATGCCTTATATATACTCCAGCCCCCATCCCCGCTCCTTCACGGATGTGAACCCTTAAGCAAAAACAGCTACTTTACAATAATCAAACTTCAAACAAAATATTGATATAACTGAGGAATTTTAATATCCCAGCTCAGAAAATATGCAAATCTTTTCAGCAAACATGCTATAACACAGAATACATTATCAGAAAAACAGGAAAGCAACTGATGTAATAAGAACAAGAACAATATACTGCAGGAATCACCATACAAGTCAACTCAACATAGAATTTTGTAGGTATCGAATTATAACAATTATTTAACCTAAAACAGCCAAATCCCATTAAGCAGAAACTGTAATATTAACTAACACAGAGTATCCATGCAGAGGTTCCTTTATACCTCTCCCACAAGCCAAGGAATTGGGAACTGGCCATTACGTTTCTTCAATCGGACCTGTTAGCATACCTCTCGACCTTCTCGTCATTGAGATTAATTCCTACCATTGCCTCCCCGAGCCCACAGCTAACATCAACCAGAACCTCCGGGTCGCTGTAGTGCGTGACGGCCTGGACAATGGCACGGGCCCTGCGGGCAGGATCCCCACTCTTGAACACTCCAGAACCTACAAAAACGCCATCACATCCCAGCTGCATCATGAGAGCGGCATCTGCAGGTGTGGCCGCCCCACCGGCTGCAAAATGCACCACTGGAAGCCTGCCAAGCTGCTTGGTCTGCATCACCAGATCGTATGGCGCCTGAATTTTCTTCGCAAATGTAAACACCTCATCATCATCCATATTGCGAAGAAGCCGAATATCTCCCATAACCGACCGCACATGACGCACCGCCTCAATAATATTCCCTGTGCCCGCTTCCCCCTTGGTTCGAATCATGGCGGCGCCCTCCCTTATACGGCGGAGGGCCTCCCCAAGGTTCCGGCAGCCACAAACAAAAGGGATCCGAAAATTATGCTTGTTAATATGATTTTCATCATCTGCAGGGGTAAGCACCTCAGACTCATCAACATAATCAATCCCAATAGCCTCAAGAATCTGGGCCTCAACAAAATGCCCAATCCGGGCCTTCGCCATCACAGGAATAGTAACCGCTTGCTTAATATCCTTAATCAGCTGTGGATCCGACATACGGGCCACGCCACCTTGTGCCCGAATATCCGCCGGTACACGCTCAAGTGCCATGACGGCACAGGCGCCAGCCTCCTCCGCTATCCGGGCCTGTTCAGCATTGACAACGTCCATGATAACGCCGCCACGGAGCATCTGGGCAAGGCCCACCTTCACTGAAAATGGAGATTTCTTTGAGGTTTCAGTGATTGCGCCATTCCCGTAGACTGTTACAACTCCACTTCCGGCCATTTTTGTATCAAATATTGAGGAATGAGAATTTGTATAGAGAGAGATATATAGAGAGAGGAGAAGATAAGAAGGGAGTGAAGAGGGGGAAAGCCGAGAAAGTAGGCGAAGGAGAATGGGACTTCAGCGGCTGCCCGTATTCCATTTATCATTTTTTTTTAATATTTTTGTGGTCGAATGAATATTTATTTCAGAAAAATTTTAGCTAGGGTTTGTGGAGAGTGGACTATAAGGGGTTGGTATGGCCTCTCCATCCTTGTCCCGTTGGAATTTTCGGAGGCGAGATTAGTGATGTTAAATGGGTTGAGTAGCGATGGACTCTGATTGCCCCACCAAAAAACAAACCCGTTGGATAGACTGAACTCCATATACATGTAATGAACCAGCTCTAGCTCGAGTAGCCTCACTTGAGCATGAGCTTGCTCGCTTGATGGGTCGAGTCAAAGTTACAAATGAAGTGACTCAACACACAAGAAGTGAGGTGATGTGGGGTGATCCTTCTCGTCCCTCATCCCGTGAAATATTTTGAGAAGCATGGTAGACTTGGTAGAGTGTTTTGTCATCCTTCATTATAATCAATTCTCTGCCTTTGATGAGCTTACAAATGTTGGTTGCAATATTTTCCTAAGAATCTTTAATGTTATTGAAAAAAATATGCTAGTACAATTTACGAAATAATTTTCCTCAAATGTCTCGATAATTTATCCCATGTTGGATTGATAATGAAAAATTCAAGTATGTTTAAAACAAGAGTGATGCTTTTTAGTTTTATTGGGGTTATAATTTCAGTTTAGGTGGCGTTAATGTGATATTAAATGATAGGTGGAATTGAATAAATCATTTAATTTCACATTTTATTCAGCCTATCATCAAGCGCTATCTAAATTGGGGATTATAATCCCATCCAGTGAGGTTGCACAGCAGTATTCTTAAAACAATTGAATGTTCTCCACATTATCTTTATTTTTCCAATTACAATACAAATTGGTTGGTCCAAAAAGCAAAAGTTGTGTGAAGAGAATTCCTCTCTTCTTAAATTTTAATGGCTTCTAAGCTTCCACATTGTTGAAGATTTATTCACTCAAAAAAAATTCTTTTTTAATAATGTCACGAGAACTTAGTGAACGAGTTTTGATGAGAAAAATCAAGAACCAATACAATATCTATGTTAATAAAATAAAAATTAAAAAAAATTAAAAACTCGTTAAAATAATCTCATAACTGATCCGTTCATCTCAAAACCAATTGATTCAATCCCAAAAATTTATTTCATTCATTTATTTAATTTATTATCATTAATTTCGCTTCAACCTTGACCATGGACACTTAAATTTTCCAATTAATGTCCAGTCAATTTTAAAAATTGATTTTAATGCGATGATTCAATAAAACATATGTACATCAATAATAATATTTAAATTTACATATTTTTTAATCATGGGCCCACACTTTTAGAGTGTGTTTGACATGATTTTTATTTTTATTTTTATTTTTGTTTTAATTCTTGTAGAAAAGCCTTTACAGAAAATTACTTTATTTTTTGTTTAAAAACTAATTTTTAAAAAAGCTTCCTATTTCATAAGTGCTTTTAAAGAAAATTACATTGTACTAATTTCCTCCAAAAATCTTTTTAATTAAAAAACACTTTCATAAAAATAATCAAACGAATTAAAAAGTAATTTTTGATTCTTAATTTTTTTTTTAACTTATCAAAAATCATGTCAAATGAACAAATATAAAATATTAACCATTTATAAATTCTGATGGCTTTTGAGTTTCCACGCAAACCAGTCAAGACGACATTCGCTGTTGTGCACTAGCAATAAGAGACAAAACTTGTAATTCGTCAGCCGTTGTTGAAAGCAACCAGAATTTTTTTACCAATGTTCTGACCAAATCTATGTATTGTCGACCTTTACTTAAAATTTGCAAGGGCCACCAGAATTTTTTACCAATGTTCTGACCAAATCTATGTATTGTCGACCTTTTACTTAAAATTTGCAAGTCAATGACAAAGTAAAAAATGAAATTGGTGTCTACAACTTGCCACAATTTTATTTTATTTTTTTCTGTTCTTTTTTCGAGTTTTTATAGGGTATCACGGGTGATGGTGCTAAAATATTGGGCTTACATTTGCTCGAACGTTAGATAATGTTAACAGGTCTATACTATTCGATTCTCAATATAAGCACAACGCATCACTCAAGTATTAAATAAGCACAAAATTAGCGCCGATCTAAAAAACTCCTGCCATCGACTTAATGACCCCCAAACTATCATTTCAAGTGGTTAATGACTTGTGTTATACAATATGGTATTGGTTTTTAATAACCTTTGTCCAAAGCTCAATCAACCTATTATATCAAGGTAATTAACTCACAATTTTATGATAACTAACACGACTATTGTACTCCATCTTATATCAAGATTTCACATTCATATGTGTAAAACTAATCAAAGCAACACACCCTAATCACAATTTAAAAGTTATAAGCAATTCTAATATTATTATCATTAGTTGTCAAGACTATCTAACTCATACAAACACAAATAAACAAATGAAAACATTACTGAGTTTCTCAAATTTTCATTTTTTAAATATATCTTAAAGTGATAAAATTGTTAACACACAACAATTTCAAATCACAAAAACTTGTTAAATTATAATAAGAAACAAATAGGAGAACGTCTCGATATTTTTACTCCAAATCTAAATCATACATTGATATCAATATATGCATATAAATATCAAAATAAATTGAAGAACGTAAAAGAGGGATATAGAAACTTGGCGAGGGTGGTGTTGTACTGATTCTTGTGCTCTGTAATGTAGAAACGATGAATCCCACTATCATCAATGCAAATGCGATAGTTAGATGGTTCATCAATAGTGATAGTAAAAAAATCTGCCCCGTCCCGAACGGGTTGGTGGGGGCAAGGTAGGGTAGGCAGGGGCGGAGCCCAAGCATGTCCAGTGCGGGCAGATGCCCGCACTGGAGTTTTGGGCCAAATTTTTTTTTCTTTTATTGATTTTAGTTTAACCCACTGGACTTTTGAAAGTTTGTTTGTTTTGTCATGGTAAAAGTGTGATTGCTTTAGATTACTACAATTGGAATACAAAATAATTTTGATTTTTCCAAATGTTTGAACGATAGTAACCTGTATGATTAATTACGCTATCATGGACAATCTGAAAGAATGCCAATGGTCTTAATATGAGTAAAATGGTTTAAACTCTGTAGAAAATAGAATGATTTCAATAAGCATGACGTGTTAATTCTTCTTTATTTCATTTTCGAAAAATTCTACAATGTATTAATTCCCAAACAATTAAATTCCTGACTCTGCAGGCCGTAGAACTGACTTGGAATCTCTCATTCTTTGGTTAGAGAGATAGAGATGTATTCATTTCCATGGTGTATTATAGAGATACTTTATCGAGTATAATACAGCTTTTTTCGAGGAATACTTCTTGGTGCATGGAACGCTTGATACAACTTGACGTTGATGAGGACAGAATGGCTAGGAAAGTAGTTGTACATAAGAGACTTTGACGGTGGTAAGTGTTACCTGTGTTAAGATATAGGATGCAACACTTCAAATGCAAGAATTCCAAAGTCAACCTTTAGTTGGATTGTTTTTTCGAGTTTAAGATTTATGAGTAAAGCTTGAGATGAAACTGCAGAATGAAGCTAATTTCTTTCTTTTACTGAAGCGGTTATTTGTCTAAATAAAGCTACATGAGTACAGAGGACCATGGTTATTTGAATGTATATTCATGATTGTCATCCCACTTAGTTGTCAAATATGTCTTGTTCTCATGATATTAATGTGTAGTATGGCTTGATCACATTTCATAACACCATGTTGGTCGAAGTAAGAAAAGGGATATCTATATGTTCTATTTATTATGTTTTTCCTCTTCTTACTAACCAGAATGCTCTCCGTTTAACAACTCTTTAGGCCTGGAGGCTCTTCAAAACAGTTTGGAGATACCTTTAGAGACTTCCTACAACTTGTCTACTGGGAGAGATAATATTCAGGTAACAACGTAATGCCTTGTTTTGGTTCCTTTGACATTCAGAGTCGAAATTTTTTTGCCCGCACTGAACTAAAATTCTGGCTCCGCCCCTGAGGGTAGGGCACCCATCGTGGGGGGAGGATGCCTAGCCCCAAACCTGCCTCCTAAAGGAAAAAATAAAAGATTAAAAATAATTTTATTTTTAGACAATTCACTCCGTTAAAAACTCATTTTGAATTTGTATTTTATCCTCTAATAATAACATAACTCGAACTTTTGAAAATGTAAAAAAAAAAAAAGTTAAAAAAAAATTAAACGGGGCAAAAAGTTGCCCCCCCCCCCACCCCGAACCCCCCCGGTTGACATCCCTATTCATCAGTAGCTTTTCCCTTTTTCTTGATCTGTCATATAATGCACTCTTCGAGTTGGTGCCATTGTACTTACAAATAAATGGAAAAAGTAAAATTAGAGGTATACTTATACCATTTGATAGTTGTTGGAAAATTACACCGATATTGTGCATATCATATTCACAAACACATGCCATTTATGTTCACAAAATGTAAACGCAATTTCGTTTTACCGAATGGGTTTGAGAAGATGAAACGGCAGATTCAATCATTTACTTTCTTTATTTTAAACCTACATGAAATCAAAGAAATGCTATTAATTTCTTGAAATCAAATACGAAGAAAGAAATCAGAAAGAATAAAGGTGAGATGCGAGTGATGCGATCGGCCAAGGTAATTGTTAGACACTTTGTCCTTAAAATGAATTTGCCCCGCATTGGTGCTAACGATTTTTCGGTAATTATCTCCCAAGATACAACGACCACGTCAAGTCATAGGAGCATTCCAAATGACTTCGACTAACGAACTCGAATAGAGTTCCCACTCTACCATAATCATGACTTTGATACAAGTGTTTTATGCAAACTAAGTGTAAGCATGGAATGATGTGGAATTATCTATTGACTTTCATGAATTTCTTGAATGATAAAATTCAAATATATGGTGTCTATATATAGTAGTTAGAAATGTATGTCAAAAGACACAACTATACCAAGAGTCAAATCTCTTGGAATTCATAATTAGTGAAAAATGATTATGCCAAAGGTCATGACC